GTGCAGGTGACTCAGGCACATGGCACTAACTTCTGCAATGAGTCATGGCTTGAAACGGAAATAGAATAATTTTGGTTTAGTATTTTCCATAATCAAAACCTTGCATTGATTTCTTTTTTTTTTCTATCTGATAAATCCTTTCTGAACTAATGCCATTCTTTTTTGATTGAGAGAGAAATTTATCTAGACTGAAATAAATTGCTTTGCCTAGGACTATATGTTAGGGAGTTATTCCTTCCATTTTCTTACGGGCATCATCTTGTTGTTCCCCTGTGCCTGTAAAACTGCAATTTTAGGTTGTTTTTTTTCTTTGTTCTTTTAATTGACCTGTGTTTTTACAATAATAGTCCTGCCCTTTCTAGTTTTAATCTATGAATTTACAGTATGGTACAATGCTTAAAATTAAATAAGAAAACATTAGCATATGTCTTTTGTAGCCTGATACTTTTCATGGTAAGGAACATGTATCTCATGTTAAGACAGGTTATGTAATTGTGTTCTTTTATCTGGCCTAAGGATTGACTTGCCTTGAAACTTCTTGAAGCGGAAGAGCACAGTTGTTTGCATAAGCTTCTTAAAACTATTTCTCTTCCTCTGTTCTTTTTTTTTTTTTTTTAGCTTATTAGAAAACTTTATCATGTGTGCTAGCAGATCTTAACCTCACTGCAAATGAAGAAGAGTACAACCATTGTCCTCATCTGTGTTCAGCTGATAACTGAGATTTATTTAAAGGGCTCTTAATAACGGTGTTTGGGATTTCATAATGCCAAACTTTAGATGGTGATAATGCTACTGATAATTCAGAATTAGTCTTTAGCCTTCTTACCGTATGGCATTAAAAGAATCCAGTGTTGTTGTTCTGCCCTTACTCCAGTGAAATCCATTGAGTTTTTCTTTTCCGTAGTTTCATTTTAGTCTCATTGGAATAACTGTCTAGGCATTGAGAACCTGTATTAATTCAGGAGGTAAAGATCTGAAGAGAGCTGATGAGTCACAGTCCATGGGGAGTATTGGGCTCTACAGGCCTGGCATAAATTCTACTCCAATAAATGTTTTTGTGAAGTTTAGTTAATTTAATTAAGTTCTTATTAAAACAAGGCACTTGTTAAAAGCCGTTACACCCATTTGCTATAGTGATCTTTTATACTGCAAGCTAATGAAATAATTTTCGCTCTGTTTCTTTTTTAAAGAAGTAAAAAAGGTATATATACTATATATTATAAATAAAATATTTTTGGAGTAAAACATATATATAAGAGATTTAAATATATAGTATCTATAAATATATTTTTAGGTATACATATAAAATATATATAAAGATTTTAATGTATAAATATATATTGAAAAAATTAAAAGGAATTACTGGCAAGGTGTAGCCCTATAGAACTGTGCTATTTATTAAGAATTACAAATTGGACAAAGCCGGATTTTGTGGAACCATTTCTGGGCTTCTTTAAGGTCACCTACCATTGCTGTTGTTTAAAGTTAAGAGGCCATCCTCACTTGTCCTTGTCTTCCTGCTGTGTCACTTACAGCACAAATGTTCTTGGCACAGCAAGAAGAATCACCAGTGTTCACCCCAGTCATTCTCCTCATCTGGTTTACCCCACAGTGACGTGGGTGCCAGGCTGGGGTGGCAAGGTGCTGCTATGGCCTCAGGGAGGGTCACAGAAGATCATGGATTTTGACAGCGCTGGGCTCAAGTCAGTTTTAGGTGATTGTGAACTCTTCTGTCTCTGTGGACTGGTTGTCTCTGGCTTCTTTTCTCCACTTCTTCCAAGTCCACTTTTGCATCACTGTCTCCCTTCTTCATCCCCTTTCTCTGAGGAAGGGTTGATAGAAATTCATTGGTGCATTGATTGGAGGAGTAGTAGCTGTTCTATACTGGTACTTTCCTTCCAAGCTCACTCCTCCTCAGTTTAATGTAGGTTACCTTCTCCTGCATCCTTCATGCCTATCACTGTCACATTGTGGGCTTCCATGTCATGTTTGTGTGGATAGTTCAACAAATTTTCTCTGACTGCATGGTAGCACATGCCTGTGCATTCTGGGATGAACTCCATTGGAAATATGAAGCCTAGGAAAAACACAATTAAGCTTTGTGCAGAAGCCTATAAATCGTTGGCCTAGTGGGTTTAAAAAAAAAAAAAAAAGCCTAGTTATTGAGCATGTTTTTGCTATGCCTTTATTAGGAGGTTAAGCAGCAGATGATGGAATGGATGTTAACAGATGTGTCACTGTGATAATTTACCTTCTGTCCTCTTGGTGATGATTTGCAAAATACCACATAATTAGTGATTCTTGACTCTGATGCAGTACTTGTGCTCCTTAAAAGAAAGCCAGGGGTTTACAGCATCAGTAAAGGAAATGTGACATGCTGTCTTTTTGCAGATCTCTAAACACACATATGTATGTATGTATGTCTATATGTATGTGTATAACGTACATATAGGCACACACAGACATATACCCACCACTTCAATTAGACACCTGTTGTTGAAATACCTAATTCAACATGAAACAGAAGTACTGCAAGGGAAGTTGAAACTGCATAAAACTATCACAAAATCATTAGCACAATTCTTTTATTGAACATAAAGTACTTTACTGACCATACAAGGAGGATGAAAGTAATAAACCCCTGAAACAGCTTGGGGAAAAAAAGCAAGCAGCAGAAAGGAAATAGAACCTGAGAGGGGAAAGGAAAGAAAACTGGAAAAGTAGCTGGTAGTGACTATACTGACATACACACACTTTTTCTAAGTGTGATGTGGAGAAGGGGGAGCACTGTTTTAAGTGACTAGGAAGACAGCAGAAAGCATATAGGAAATGTCAGTTTAGCCTGTCGGTGTTTCACTTCATAACAAATGCTTTGCTAACTAGCTAGGGGGTGAAAATACAGGGGCAATGGTACAACTTTTATATCAAGTAGCTGATTTTGTCATGAGAAGATTTATCTCTTTGGACCAGCGTCAGCAAATTATTCTAAAGGATCCTAGAGCACTGCCCTGTGAAAAAGGGGATGTAGGTTAAAAGAAGAATGATAGATTTTTTTTTCTTTTTTGCTGGATTTGTGAATTTTGTGCCTCTCTCCTTTTTTCAAGCTGTGACAATTTCAAATCCATCAGATAAGGTTTTGTCAATCAAAACTATATGTTCAGCAAGTTTGAAGATTAAAGCAAACATTCCTGTGTCATAGCGGAAGCTTAACAGTTAACGAACGTGACGGTATATTCTTTCGGCCTGATTTGTGTCCTTGCTGTTTTCAAATGAGCTCATACTGAGATTTAATTAGAGCTGAGTGGTAGTCATGGCAGAGCAGCTGTTCAAGTCCCAGCCAAGTTCATCTGACAATTGCTTTTCCACACCTTCAGAGAAACCAACATAGTTTACTAACTGTCGTAATATTGTGAGCGCTCAGAATTTCCTTGTGAGCATCTTTTTTTCTAATTAAGGTTACAGCTTTTGGGATCAAGTAAGAATCTCAGCTCTCCTTTCAAATAGAAGAGCTTACACTTCCTTTGAAGGGAATCAAAAGCATACAACAAATAAAAAGAATCGTGTATACAGTTTACCTTAAAAATACATGTATCTCTTAAAATGTAGGGATCTCTTAAGCCAATCTTGTGATTTTTATCAGGCCTGTGACTCAGATTTTTTTTAATTATTTTTCTAAGTTCTTACTCTTAACAGATTTTGCCTTCCCACAGACTACCTCCCATCTGTTCAGGGTAATGGGTTTTCTGCTTGTACTTAGAAAGGAGCATATTGCAGGATTTGAGTGAGAAATTTTACCTCAAGAAACCATGAGTCCTTGGTGTCTACTTAAACTTGGTTGCCAGGACTACTCTGTCCCAGGCAAATAGGATAAAAAATTTGAGGCCCTCTTGCAGAGAATTGAGAACTGTAGCCTGCCTACAGAAAGAGATAAAAAGATGAGTGTGATAATGAAATAGCAACTTCATATAAACATTGTGATTGAGAAGTGTTCAAGCCCTCAAGTCTTAAATATTTGTAGGTGAGTGGGTGGGAAGAAGGGAAAAGGAGTAAGAAAGTGTGAATCCAGGCATGAGACAAAAAGTTGTAATACCTTTTTATAGTACAAAAAACCAGACTTGGTAAAATCTAAATCAAGTGATGCATTTGATATTGTCTCATATTAGAACTGAGAATTAATCAAAGTATCATAATACTGTGTTTTTTAATTAAACCCTTAAAATATCTACTTTCTTCAAGCTGTCAAATCCAGAAAAGATGCTCAAAATATGATGATACACTCAAGAACCGAAAGGATGAAGTGTTCTGAGACTTGGCTGCTACCTTTGAAGATTGTGTTTTTAAAAAAGCAGTAATTTAGAAAAATTCATGTCTGCTGTTGCTATTCCTTCATAAATCCTTCTCTTCCATCGCTGTGAAGCACTCTGTCCTTGTCTTTCAGTTCCAACCTGGAAGTGAAGATGTAGAGGTCAGGAGACAGTCTTTTCTGTCTCGTCATGTGGTCTTGAGTGGTGTTGGCCTGTTCCTTGTTTGTTCTGATGAGGACGATACAGCAATTCAGGTTCTTTCAGAATTTTAAGATGCCTTGGAATAGATGCATAGCAAGGCTCTGTTCTGCAATATTTCTGTTCTTTTGCCTACTTTGGTTATTGAAATAGCAGCTCTTTGACTTCTGTTTTAGTAAACAGGTTATGTTTGTTAGTGAGGAGTCATAAGAAACGTGTTCTGAGAGGGAGGAGGGGGGATGATGAGCACACCATGGCCCCGCCTGAAGTATGAATTCTGTGGCAGTAGGCTCTGTATTTCTGGATGTGCTGGAATACCTTGCAGGTGTCACTGAAGCCTACAGATTGTCTTTGAGAGAAAGGGCGAAATTAAGGCCTACGAGTTAGTTGCTTCCTCAGCAGCAAAGTGCAAACACCAGCCCAATTTGTGACAAGGCTGTGGAAGTGTTTTCAAGGTATTTTTCTAACTGAGAATTGTGTGTGTTTGAATATACGGTAATGATCTTCTGTGTTCTGTTGGGCCCACCAGGTAAGTAACACTGCATTGGAAAGAGCGGCTCACCTTCATTTTTTCCTTTCTGAGCACGTATGTTCAAAAAACGGTGTTCTGAATTGCTTTTAGATACAGTGGCTTGCAAGAAGGAACATAGACAAAGGGTGAAGTGATAGTTTGAGTGGAAGTTAGCAGGAGAAGGTGGAGAGGAATGTTGATGTTCAGCCATCAACAGTGTCCATTTCCTCTGTCTGTCCTTTCTGTCACTGAGGGCTGTTATCAAGGTGTGGATGCGTTATCACTGGGCCAGTCCCTGCTTTGATGGGAAAGAAGGATTTAGTCTCTTATTAATTATGAAATTTGGGTAGTTTTGCTTAGTTCTTTTATCGTTTATGTAGATACCTAATGATAAACTGGACTAAAAGTGACCATGTGTCCTGTTCTTTCTTCCAGATGAATGATGCAAAGAAATTAAGTGATAAACTGGTACTGAGAATTTCCCAGTTTTCTTTGCCTCACAATTTTTGATATCTAGACCTGTCTTGTATTCAGTTATGAGCACAAGATTGCAAATTTCATGTCTCTCTAGGCCTACCTGTCAGATGGTGAGCTTGATCTGAGAGCTGTGTACCAGCCAGAAGAAACACAGGGGTGTTACAGTCAGTAACAGGGCACCACAAGCTAGCAGGATCTCAAGCTGCAGGTGTAGCCTACCATTTTCTCTTCTTCAACATGTGACACATCTTTATGCATGAGATTTTCTGTGCTGGGAGAAAGAAAACTTTAAGGTATCTCAAGTTATTATTTTTAGTAAATGATTATGCCTTAATTTTTTAAAAAATTTATTTTTAAATTTTTCAGTCTCTCAAAATGTAAATGAGGTAAAATGTAAAAGCAAAGGACAGTGGGGACATTTGGCCATTGCCAGCACTGCCCCTATATCTTGTGAAAAGCTGCTCTACAGCTTGGATTGTGGTAAGTAGATTTGCTTTATTTTAATCTAAGATAGAACTGAGAAAATGCTTTGGCCTGCTCTTTTCCCTCAGAAATTTTGTAGAAGCAGAATTGTAGTTCAGAGTAGATAGCAATGGTAAATAGATGGAAGTTGCTGTTGAAGTTACTTTTAGTTGCTCCAATTTTATTTACAGCGATTAATATTTCAGTTTAAAATTAAACCAGCATTACTTTTGAATTAATAATTTCTGATTGACAAATGGGTAAGTACTCCAACCTAAAATACCTTTTTTCCCTCTGAAGTGTTGGTGTTCTGGAGCTGCAGGTCACCCGAATCCTGCCCAGCAGGTGGCAATGCTTGACCAAACTGTGGGTGTCAACCTGCTCGGGGTTCCTTGGAACTGGTGGCACTTTCTGCAGCAGCTCTGATTCGCTTACAGGGATTCATCATTATGTAAACACAAACATTGTAGAAATTAATGTTGGTTTGTTTTGCTCTCCTTTTCCCCTGAAAGTGCGCATACTAATGAAGTTTAGTGAAATCGCTGAAGATAGAAAATAGCATGAGGAGAAGCAGAAATTTTGTCTTAAGTAGTGCTGATTGAATGGACAGAATTTGAAATGCATTAGAAGAAATACCTATAATCATGACAGTCACTGAGACTGGTTTGGTTGCCCTTAAATCTAGATGAAGTTTGCTACATACTGTTAGTGCATGTTATGACTTACGTTATCAAAATATGAGATCCACTAATAAGAAATCTTTAAAAGTAAACAGTACTTAAGATTCTGTAACTCAACAGTGAATTTCTTTTGAATTACTTGCTGGGCAATGGAATGTGGCAAGCAGTTCATGAGAATAAAGAAACTCAGGCTACAGGAGCTTAAAATGAAGTTACTGAATGTAATGCTCATCGGGTTTGTTGCTGTTTGCTACAGAAAATAGATGTTGACACAGAAAATAATTATAAAAAATACTGGGATAAGAATGAATCTCTGAAGTGGCATACACAGGACCAAAGATAGAAAATACTGACTTCAAAAGTAGTCAGAAATATTTCAGTGATTTGCTTTAAAAAACATTAATAGCTGTGTCTGCAAATTATGGCAAATTTCTTTTGGTTATGCCATTAGGAGTTCAGGGATTACTTGCTCTTTTTATTTTGTTCTGGTGTTTTTCCTAGTTCACAACTGAAAAAGAAAAAGATTTTTTAGAAGAAACTGGCAGTCTGCCACTATGTGGGGGTTTGAGACAAGAGTTGTCTCAAAGCAATCGCTGATATAAGTGCAGACTCATTTGTGTTGATGCAGTAGCAAACTGGAATGAGTGTAGTAACAGCCTTTCTTTCTTAAGCAAATTAAACTTGCAGTATGGATATCCTGGGTCTCTGAGTCTGAAAGGTTTTCAACACATCTTGAATTTTTATCCCAACAGGCCTTATTGTAGAATAATCAAGAAAATATTCTTATTCTGAATGCTGTTATTTGTTCGCATTTTGTTTACTCACCAGGATGATCATCCCTGCCGAGTGTCATAAATTCACTAACAAAAATATTTACCAGTAACTAGCTGCAGGTTTTGGATCTTACGTAACAAGAGCTTGCGCACACCTGCGATTTTGATCTTTGCCAAGTGGCAGTGTCTTCATGGGAAAAGTACTCCTGTCTTTTTCTCTAACAACTCCCATCCAAATGAATCAGTGCCATGGACTGCAGACTTGTGGTTGCCCAGGATCCATTAGTGGAGAGGTGACTAGTAGCATGAGCTAGCCACTTCCCATTAGGGACAGCAGTGGGTGGATGTAGTCCACAAAATGATGCAGGGCTGGATTCAGTTCATCTCTTGGGCATCCTTGACTAACATGCTGTGTGTTGCCAACTGAATTTTAAGCAGTCTTTCCACGGTACAACTCCTAGAGGGAAGATCTGCTCAAATCTCTGAGATTTTGGAACAACCTTTGCTATTATGTGCAAAGGAGAATGGGACCCATTTGCACCCCTATGGGCACTGGGGGAATTAATCCCATAGATGTGAATTGTTCAATTAGGAAATTATTACAACTATTACTATGCTTTTATATATGTCAAAAGAGGCTGCTGTTTGCACCTTAATTGTTTTATGTCTGTTGCACTACCAGTTTTTGGCAGTGAATCTCATATTTGACAGCATTCATGTGGGGAGAAAAAAAAAAAAAAAAAAGACTGTGCTCATCTAGGCAGGGGAAGAGATGTTGGAACACAGTTCTGTGTGCGGCAGTTGCCTCTGCTCCTCACAGCTGTGAGGTATGGCCAGTCAGCTGGGGCTGGGGGCTGCTGGGCGCTTGTAACACAGCCCTGTCAGAAGATTTCTGGTCAAACAATTGGCACACCCCTGGATTTCAAAATCCTAAATTTGAGGTACAGTGTACTACTACATATTGCTGCACTTCCAGAGCTGAACGTGACCTGTGTGGAATGCCAGCCTTGCATGGAGTAGCCCGTACAGCTGGAAAAGCTTGGAACAGTGCAGCGTTTGATTCCAGTGCTTATTGACCACAAAAAATTCAAGTCACTTTTGTTTTACAAATGATGAGGAGGATGTGAATGATTCTGGGATTTTTGTATTACTGTAATGCGTAGTTAAACCAAAAAAAATGTATCTCTGATGGAGATTTTTTTTTTTTAGCTTTATTTCAGCTAAATTTCAGCTCCTAATTAGATGCACTATAAGCAAATAAAGTGTTTGCACAGCTGCCTGCAAAAATCCAAACCTGCCAGACACTGCTTTCATTAAAGTTATTGTCAGGTACCCTGGTCATGTTTCTCATCTTTAATGACTTCCTCTTTGTCACAACATCCCTGAGGACTTGTGGTATGGTTTGTGTCAGAGATCCCAGTAGATTTTACCTGACTTCTAGGTTTATGGACTGTTCCTGTGTTAGGATTTTTAAAGCCCATATTCCCAATGTCATTCTCACCTGGGGAAGGGTTGGGTAATGCTTCCAGTCTGGTGCATTAGGTGTGGTGCCAGTTTACTGTAGAGAAAAATATCATTCACTAACTTTCTATTTCTATCCAGAAAATTCTATTATTCTTTAATCCTTAGTGGGAAGCTGAAAATCCTCAGGAACACAGACTCTTAGTTATTTGGCTTTTTAGAGAATATTAAAATCAATAAATCAAGCATGGATGTTTTAAGTACAAATGAAATTATATGTGATTATACTTTTAACTATAATATTAAAATACAAGGTGGTTAGTTTAGTTTTATAACATATGTGGGAAGCTTAATTCTCAGCAGAAGAGACTATTCCTTTTAGTGAAAGGTTTAGAGTAGTGCTAAAATATATTCCTTGCCATATTTTCGGAAGAACCCATTCATGCATGTTTTGCAGGACTTAATAAACAAGTACTATATTTCCAGGTCTTTGCTAATGTAGTATCCTGTTTGAAAATATTTCTAGTGGTGATTTGTTAAGGTAACAGTACCAGTGTGTCTGAAAGTATGACCAGAGAAGGAATATATGAAGGTGCCCTGGAAGTGGCAAAATGGTTATCTGCTACACCATTCTATGTGTTTCCCTGCAGAACATGCCATAAAATGTGGTTGTTTTGTTGTTTTGTTTTTTTGTTTTTTTTTTTAAAAAAAAAAGAAAGTGAAAAAGTGGTACTGGCAAAAGTATTTTCTATTTCCTTGGTATCCATTTGTAGTGAGAATTATCAGTATAGTGTGTTTCTGATGGCTGTTGTAACTTGAGAATCTTAAAGCAAATGGATTTCTATGGCAGCATTCCGGGCCTTCCTTTAAAGCTAGTGGGCAGATAAAATATGTGTTTCTGAAGCTCATTATTCCATAATAACTGAGAAATCAATATTTTTGTTCTGCTGAGCACAGTGCATTAAATCCTTTCCTGGGGGGGGAGGAATTGCATTGGAGGTATCACCTAGCCTTCTGATACACTGGGAATCGTATTTAGAGGCAGAGGAGAGTGTCATGGAGCCAGTGGAAACTGTGGATATGCACATGTGTGTGTGTGAGGGAGAAAAAAAAACCCTTAATAATACTGATTTATTCAACTTAAGTAGGAAAGGAGTATAGAAAACATTAGCAACTACTGTTAATTTAATCCATGTTAATGTAGTGATTAATTTCCTTGTGGGTTTTTTTGCTAACGCTGCATTAAATACATAGAGACTGTTTGTACTATTGCTGTTAATACGCTTTTTCTAGGAGATCTAAAAGTATTTACAAGTTAGGTTCATGCTATATGTGGTTCATGCTACATGTAGTGTATAATGTCCATCATTCAGCTGAAGCATACACCTACCTTTATGATAATGAGGTATTTGCCCTGTTTTCGGCCAGCTGCTGCGTGTGACTGCTACCTGGCCCCTCCATTCTTTTGAAGAGGGGTTAATACCCATGAAGCTACCTTAAAGCCAGTAAAGCCAGAAAAATGACCATGGATCTATATTTGTCTGTGACTGGAAACAATTTTTTAGCCAATCTGATATACATTTCTTTCTACAGAAGAGGGCAGCAAAAGCCATATACTCTCTTTACTGCATCTCTGAAGATGTAAACCAAATTACTTCAGTAGAGCTATGAAGACTTAGCTTTTCTAATTGATCTGCTCAGAGAAACAGGACAGCATGTGACTGTCTTAAGTATTAAGCATAAAAGCATAAGTTTCAGTTGCTGAAAAAAAATTGAAATACCAAGGACTGTTTTACACTGATTATTTGAGATCTTAATTCAAATGGGGCCTCTAATATTCCTGTAACATGAAGCTAGTGATAGAATTGGAAGAGGCTCTGGATCTACACGATGGAGGTGAAAGGATCTTGGAGCCAAAGGTCAAAGCAATTGCTGATCTCTGAAAAATCTTTTTATCCTTCACTCATTTAAATCTAGTTCAGTATGGGTGGGGCCATGGAAGTATTGCTGCAAGGATGTGAAATGCTTGTGGGCGTCCCTTTGGAAAAAAATACCCATGCCTGTACCATCACTGCTAGTCTCGTATGTATATGTAGGTATATCTCTAATAAGATACTCTGGCACTTGTGTCAATCCTGTCTTCCCCCAATACCCCATGTTTCCCCTGGGTCTTGTCCCTGTGTGGAGCTGAGGATTTAAGACTGAAGGTTGATGTTGTACTTAATCTGGTTTAGCTACAAGCTGTGCCTGAAAGATGTGCACGCTCTCTCCCACTATCTCTCCAGACACGCATGCTCCCCTCTCTTTCTTACCTTGTGTTGACTAGTTTGTTCAGAATCTCATCTATAGGACAAGTGCAGAGGGGAACTAGCTGGGGAGGTTTTTAAGATACAGTTTCTATATTAAGCACAGGATCCTCAAAGGTGAAAATTCAAACAACGTGATAGCCCAACATGTTATATGTGAAGCATCACCTTGTAATCATGACTCCAGGCATAAATGATTCACGTTTTCTCACCTCAGAGTCACACATCGTGCTTGGAGTCATTTAAAATGCCTTGGAGGACTCAATATAAACAGAAAAATTAAAAGGCAGATAAATTTCTGCTCAAGATAATGTGGATTCAGTCTCAAAGATTCTTTCACTCCATGCTGTTTTTTATGGTATTTCAGATGTTGTCAGAAATTACTGTCTGTTAGTGTAAAGTCTTTTAGGCTCACTTTATTTTCTTTACCTTAATAGGAAAAAAGCAGACTGAAATATCCCTAGATGCTATTTCTAGATAGTTTGGGTTTTTCTGTCATAAACTAATCACCAGTGGCTGCATTGTGCGACCTTTTTGCCACTTAGTCAAGATAATTTAGAGCGCCTTACTTTCTGAACAGCAGAATTGCTCATTAACAATTTGTACTACTTTATCTTTGTTATCAACAGAATGAGAAGTTGGAAAGAATGGACAACTTAGTTGGTAGGGAGACTAGGAAATGACAAATTTAACTTTGTTACTTCAGCCTGATGTATTATTATATTGGCTATAGTAGATATGGTTAAGCAACTGGTGCAGAATATGCAGTTTGAGTCTTAGAGCACTGAGAACCATGAAAGCTTTCATCAGTGTTTAGAACAGTAATATTTCATAATTTGGCTAGTGATGTTTTCCTGTATAAAAGTTGGGACTTTTTGTTCATCTCATGAGTACAAAATATTTTTATGAACCTAACCATGGGAAAGTGTAGTAGTCGTTCAAATGAATCTAACAGATGTGGAAAAGGTTTTAATATATTGCATCACATGTGAGGTCTTCTAGTGATGAGGGAATGAACATTTAAAAATACTTTCATTTGTCATCTAACTTACAATAAAAGCTCACAAAAATTACATTGTGACTATAAATCTGGCACAGGAGTAGTGGGCTAATAGTAAATATTACATAATTGGGGGTGTAGGATTTTGAGATGTTAGCAGAAAGGCAGACTAGCATTTGGTCATGAAAGAGTACTTGTTTCACCTTGAATGGGCAGAAAATTAGACATTTTCAGTAAAGCATGCTGTTCAAAAGACCCAGAAAATTTAAGCTCAAATGAGAGATTCAAGAGTAGGAGGCATTTTGTTCTTTATTAAATCTCTAGTGAAAATACTGTATTCAGGCACAGACCAGAGTGATAAGTAGAAGGGCTCCTGATTAGAACAACAAAGATGGTTCTTGGGCAGGAGGATCTGTGCTGTGAAAGAACAGAATGGCTCTGTTTTGTTTAAATAATCAGAGTAAGGGAGATAACATTCTGATATATGTCAAGGGGATGGGATAATTTATTAAAAAAGAAAAGGCTAGTAATAAATCACAAGAAAAAAATTGGGATTGAATTGGAGATTGTGGAAGCCTCTGAAGGTGCCACATATAAAACGGTTTTGAAAAACCTGTCTAGTGAGGGGGATATGCAGCACAGAAAAGGAGATCAAATAATTGCTGCTTAATAAGCTTGCACTCTTTATTTCTACATTGTTTATGCTTTATTTTTAATATGCTTTTAGAGTTGAATTTCTTTGGGCAGTTTTTCTGCTTATTGGGCAGGAAAGTCCTCCACTGAAAGGTGTTTACCCTCTGCTCTTCCATGAGTTTAGCCGTCACTGGAGGGGAATGGGGAAGGGTGTGGTGGTTCAGCTTCTGCAGAGGAGAGGCTGCGCACAGGAGCTCCGCTTTTGAAGCATGTATTTAACAAAGTTCTTTGCTCCAAGTTACAGAAGTCAGGGAAGGAAAGCTTTGTATCAGAGGAAGAGGGTTTCCTACAGACCTTTTCTCCTGCCCTGTTAAGTTTGAACTGCTGAGGCAGCTGTGCGATCATGGTCCTCAGTAAAACTGGGCAGATCAGTGATGAAGAAATCTTGTAGCTTGGTAGCATTAACCATGTGATAGGTTCCCATGTTGGCCCATCTGGGATGACTCCATCATGTGCTAATGTACACGAGGACCTTAAGTGCTTGCTTTTGTTCCTAGTAGTTCTCTTTCCATATATTACAATTGACAATATTGATATAGAAGCAGTCAAGACAGTGTTTTCCAGTAAATATATACAGTGAAGATCGAGACGTACGGTACTGGTGGAAACGGTAGGATATAAAAAAAACCTAAATGGCCATGTTGTGCCATTGGGCACAGAAGATGATGTTCAGAAATCATTTCTATTGTGACTTCAGTAGGTTAAATAATAGGCTAATATACAGTCATTTATATGCTAACTTATTGGCAGAAGCTAGCACTTTTTTATTTTTTTTTTGTGTGACTAGTGTATGACTAGTGTATTTTCCCTTTCAAAAGGCTAGGCTATAGCTTAGAATGGAGAACTACATTAATGCTGTCCTGCCTGTCATACTGGGAAAAAAATGGTTTTGTGACCTTAATCAAGTTTCCATTAGGGTTTCTGTGAATCATCAGATCCCACAGTGACTAAGTGGAAAGAACAATCCATGCTTCCTTGCCGTTACAGTGCTTCCCTTGAGTATGACATTTCATCAAACTGAGTGATTAACAGCAAAACTTAACTGGCCTGATTCAAGTGTGAGCTATGGCACCCGTTAATGCTGTTTCAGAGCCAATGAAATCGGCTGCTGTTCAAATTTACAGGCTCCTGGTAATGGAGATTATCGTTAATCTAATGAAATCTGACTCAACAGGAGCACTAAGTCATGCATTTGATAGGTTTCGTCACTTATTTTGTGGTGATGGGCTGCTGCTTTTAAGACAATTTCTGTATGAAGTGATAGCTTGAGAAAACATAACTGGTTTATGTGAGAGTGGAATACTGGTGGAGTCAAGTGCTGAAAGTATAACTTCACAGAGCAGAAGAAAAAAGTGTTTTAAATCCAAATAGGTCTTTGCAGAAACTGAGTAACACATTTAAGAATATCAAGGCCTCTGAATCAGGTTTTAAATAGACTATTTTATTTTTTTTATAACAATCTCTTATCAGTCTCTTGTTGCAGAAGTGTGGAACAAGTAAATAAAAGAAAGCCCCTAAACCAGTATGTTTTCAGTATTCTTAACTACTTCTATTTAGTCATGGTAGCATCAGCACAACAGTGCCAAATACTGAGTTCTGTTAGCTAGGCTGGCTGGGTGGAAGGCGGTGCAGCAAGTGCTGATGCTATCAGAGTTGCAGAGCCCATTGATCCTGATAGATTGCTGCTGGTTTCATTAGATCGTGGATTAGGTCACACAAAATGAAAATACTACACAAATCTGATCACATACTTGCTTTTGTGAACAGTTTCTTGTGGTTTTTGAATATTTATGAAAGTTTGTGTAACAGTCTAAAGAGTCCTCAGCATATGGAAGAAGTAATAATCTTACTCGTTTAAATTATTGCAGCTTCGGGATGCGTATGAGGTCATGTTCAGCCATTATTTGGCAGGTTCTTTTGATTTCATCTTGAAAACAAGTATATTTACAAAACTGCTGTCTTAAAAGCTATCACTGAAATGTTAATTCTAGTAAACAGAATTTCATTACATTGTTCAATGCTGTTTCATGGGACAGCTGACACGTTTGCTGATTGTATTATGCCGGTGTGCCATATTTTTTAGCACACTGTTACTGGATCACCTAGCAGTACAAATTGGGGTGCTGATGACATCTTAGATGCAGTCATATTTCCATTAAATTAACAGAAAATAATGACTGCTGGAGGTAGATTGACTATTCCTGATTCAGCATGAAATTAGAGCAGCACATACAAACCATAGCTTTTCTGGTACAAAAACTTTTAAACTAAATCTACTACTTTTTTTCTTTTTCCTTTTTTCTTTCTTTTTCCATTTTTCTTTTTTTTTTTTTTTTTCTTTTTTCCCTTTTCACCCTTTTTTGGCTTTTTAAATTGAATTAAAAAATTCACTATTTCTAACCAGATTTGGACTTGAAGACTGGGTTTGCTTTCTCTTCAACAGTCCTCTTGTCACTGAGGCTAATGTACCAGACTGTAAGTTCATGGAAGTCTGGCTGGTTCTGTGTCAATAGTATGCCAAAATCTTTATGTGCACACGGTAATCACCGTGAAGCAGTTATTTTATATATATATATGTACATTACCTTGCTTGAAGTAAACTGTGCTAGCTGTTTAGAGATGTTGACGATCTGCTATTTGTATACCCTAGAGGGTGCTCCTGTTCTAAATGATGAACAAACTTTTGCCCTGCTATAGTAAACTGGCACTATATTTCTTTTTGAGCATACAGTTGTCTTATTGACAGTTCACTGTTCAGACATGCCCAGCACTCAGTGTTCAGACAGAACTGGTTCCTGTGCACGGTGTGTTATTTGTGCAGAAATCGGAGCGCAAGCGCTGCACTGAAGTGATGACTGGAGGGTGCAGTGCTGTGAAAGTGGGAGACGTACACACATGGGCAGTGCTTTGCAGGACTGGGCCCCACGTGTTTGCTGGATGTGTGCTTTTGGCTTTAATAAAGGCTGTTGCTGATAAGCTTATCATTGCAGTGTTAAAGAATGCAAATTGAAGTAGTATAAACCTGTTGCATGTTAGGAAATAATTTTCCTTCTGATCAAAAGTAGCACCAGTTTTAATGCTTTATGCACTTACGTAAAATGAAACCCCATTGGTTTCATGGTATACCGATATTGCAGAAATGTACGTAGATGCTATAGTTTGATGGAAATATTTCAGGTCTTTTTTATATATTTGATGAATTTTTAGTCATTACGACTTCATTCATTGTCCTTGCCCAAGTTCAGTAAGAGGTATGAGTTTGCATTAGGCTGCATCTATGCCAACTGTATATTCTACAGTTGTTTAGTTTTAAATGTGTAAGATTTTTATCCAGAAAATGAATTGTGAAGCAAGAGATGCATAGATATTTCATGTATTTTGAAAATATTCTGACTATAAGAGGTCATGCTTGTAACTCCAGTAGGCGGCATTCCGATTAGTAGTGTCTGTTTCCTCTGCATTTAGGCTTTTTAAAGCAACTGTTTGCACAGTGAGTTTCAGAGTAACCATGGTACTGCTTTCTTTCCTTCTCTTCCGTACGTACAATGCAGAAATCATTAACCATTGACAGCCAGGTGTTACTTGAATTGGGGCATATTTGTTTTGTTAACTTTGCTCACGCTGACATCTAAGCTCACGCTCATCTCCAACACCTTGCCAAGAGATGCTGTCCCTGAAAGCGTTACTGCCTTCCTACGGAAGTGCTCTGACAGTTGATATATAGGTCCTCCATGCTCAGTACTGACAGTAATAAGGTGTAACAGGAATTTCAAACTACAATTCAGTGAAATTCTGTAAATCAATAACACAAAAGAATTTTGTTCCCCATCTACCCTCAGTAAAAAGATAAAATAATTTAGACAAGTAATAAATGTCTTTATAGTAGAATTGTACATTTTGCATATTGCAAATAGAAAATAACTCCAGCAGGGCATGAATGTATTTCCTAAGTATAGTAAATAAAATGAAAACTAGTTTCTGTTTCACAGCAAACTCATGCTAAGAATTTCTTAGAGTTTCTTCTGAAATTACTGAGTAATGACTTTTTGCTGTAAGTTATTTTTTGGGGAAATTAAGATAAATTCTTGCAGTTTGTGTCTCAATATTTGGAGAATATTATTGAATATTATACATTTTTATAAAAGGTGTTGGTTAAAGCTACTTTGAAATTAAGCTTCTTTAAATGATTAAATGTCGTGTTTGTTTTCAAGCCCCAGATTGCTTAAATTCAGTACTTACTGTTTATTTTCAAAGCTGAAGTAATTTGTTGAAATATGAGTCATGCCAGAGTTTAGTTGTTTTAAGGTTGTGTCATCTAAATGATAGTTAAGTAGAAAGACTGAATTTAAAGGAATAGCATCTCACTAATTAATAATTAACTAATGCTTTGAGCACATTGCAATATGTGCAATGGCCTTAGCACTAGAGAATAGAAAAGCCTCTCTTTGGTGGTTTCCTCTCTTAAAGAAGTAATCATTGCTGATATTTGTTAGGGTAAGCATTGTGGGAGGTTTAATCTCTCTCTATATAGTCAAGCTACCATTCAGCTTTGAAGAAACTGAGTATTACTCTAAGCTCATTTTTCAGTGTTCAAGAGGCAGCTTCACTTCAACATTTAATGTGTTATTTAGCAAACATAATTCTATCTAAATTAAATTTGTGTTATATGATGTCCAATAATGCATTTACCTCACCCAGTGCTGCATCAGAAAAAAAAATCTAGGAGCTCATCCTGTTCCCAGTAAAATTCAGCAATAGCATTACTGTTAAATTCATGGGGATCAGAATTGGAGTTTTACATATTTTTTCGAAGTGGTAAATCTTAGTTTTTCAGACACATGTAAGTTACAAATTGGTTGCTTTTCTCCTGAGGCAGATGTGGTTTTATCTGTGGACATGAGACCTTCCTCTCTGGTCTGGCTTTTGTGGACTTCTCCCATGGTAATACAGGTGTCCTTGGGTTTCCTCTGCCTATTAGGTTGACATGGTCCAGCTGATGCTTCAGCATAAACAACATTATAAAACTTAAGCCATGTCCAGACATCTTCAAAGTTTTCAAGAGGTGATTTTCATATTCCCGATGTGAAATTTCAAAATAAATTTAGAAAGAAAAAATAATATTTCTTTGTTAGACTTGTGTTACAGTGTATTTAACTTCTTTTATTGGCAAAAATACTTTGTAGCATTATGTTGAGTATGTACCTCCTATAATAAAATGATGGGTTTCAAACTTTGTATTTCACGTGTATTTATTACAAGAAGCCAGTAATACAAATGCCTTCTTCATTGTTATCTTCTCACCAATTGTGTATTTGTATGGAGTTAATTGTTGGGCAATCCTTTAGAATGCCATTTCAGTGTAATGCTTTCTTTGCTTTCTACCACCCATAATGCCTAAGATGCCCTTGAGAAATATGTTGCCCAAGGCAGTGTTTTCAGTTGATTATTGTGAAGTTTGGTTCTTCCACTGTTGAAACCAGTGTTGAAAGTCTTCTAGACCTCAGTGTGAAAAGGATTCTCCAAAAGCAATGGTGAATATTTTAATATGTAGTATACATTAATTTCACTGGTGAGGTGGGTTTAGTTTACTATAACAGCATTTTGTCAGATGTTGAAAATAGACAAAAATACCTTTTTTTTTTTTTAACACTTGAGAAGATGTTCTATGCTGTTCTGGTATTGGATTGTGCAGCAAACTTTTGCTTGCATATAATAAATATATATTATAATATATATAATAAAAGCAGGAAAGATACTCTAAGATTTGGCTTTAGCACAGAAGGTACAGAGAGACTGATACCATATACCTTTTCCAAGTTCAGAGTGTTAGAGTTGTTCTCTTTTATCAAGAGATTTTTTTTTTTTTTTTAAAATTCCCATTTACTCCGAAGGAGACACGTGCTGCCTAAGGCATGCAACTGACAGATTCCTAAAAGAATGCCTGCTTGTGAGTCCTGGAAGACTGGATCATTGAATTCAGTTCTGTTTTATTGCAGCAGTCCTGGTGCATAATATTTACTCAAACTCTCCTTCAGATTAATTGCATTGTCTCAAGTTATAGTCTAGAAAAAATCAAAGTGATTGGTAAACCAGGCACTCGCAAATTTGGTGACAACAGTCTCCAGTAACTGCTAATACTCTCTTTAAAATAATATAAACTTTCTAAGCGTACTGTTTCCAATTAACCGGTTTTTCTAAATGAACCAAGTGGATAAAGGTTGACATGAGTGGCTGTTAGGAAGTTGTTCCCCTTGAAATGAATTTCCATTGGTGGTGTTTACTTTAACGAGAGCAAGGTTGCATCTTTTTAGTGGTACTCATTTTGTATTAATAACTGATTGTGAAATATGTGCTTCATTATGCTTTAGTATACACTTTAATGTTGAAAATCACATTATGCCGTTTATCACAAAATACTGCATTATGGGATGTTAAGGATACAAGGATGTCAAAGGAAGGAGAATTGTGTACGTGTAGTAGGTAGATTCAGTTAGTATATATGTGTGTTTTCGAGACACTGAAGACCATACAAAAAGCTTTTATGTAGCTACTGATTACATGTACATATATCCTTGATTTGTTCTCTTGCTTTTTTCCTGCAGGGCCAAGGCTTTTCGTGGAAAAAAGGTCCATGGAGAATATGACATAAAGGTTGAACAGGTAACTAAATGACTTAATCTGAATGTTATTTTTATATTTCTGTATTTATACAAATACATATGTATGTATAAATACATACCTCCCTGGAGGTGTTTAAAAGATGTGTAGACGTGGTGCTTAGGGACACAGTTTAATGATGGACTTGGCACTGTTAAGTTAACGGTTGGATTTGATGATCTTAAGGGTCTTTTCCAACATAAATGATTCTATGATTCTATATGCTTGTGTTATAGATAGATACATAGTCCTTTGTGCTTCAAAAAACCCTCACAAGTAAGTAGAACACTCAAAGATATAGTTATGTTTCACTCTAACATGGCTCTTTTTAAAGGATTCTGACTATAATTTGCACAGCATTAAAAACATGTGTTCAAAAGTTGTTGCTTAGAGACTGTGAATTTCCCAAACACTCCGTGAATTACATGATGCATCTCTCTATCACTAATTCCTTCACTTAAGAATGTACATACACTCCCATTGCAGCACTAGCATGTGGGGTGTTTTAAAACAGCACTGAATAAATAGGGAGATAAAATTCAGGGCGCATTAGAATTATGGCTGTTTTATTTGAGCTAGGTATCTGAAACTAGGTAATTAGATAAGTCTCTTCACTGCTTTTCAATCTTGAATTCTACCAATAGATGCTACTGTAAGAAGCTTCAGTACTTAAACTGAATTGTTTTGTCGTTGGGATTTCAAAGCATGAGGGAAGAGTATCACTAGCTGTGTGGATTCAGCTTGTCTAAATTCACTGTAATAGTACAGCATGTAGCTTTGCTCCATTCTTTACACCATTGAATAAGTATTGAGGGAGAGACGGGAAAAAGAAGACAAGCTATTTTGTCCCAAAATACCATTCGCACCTAGATCAGACCATGCAGTTAGCATCATGCACACTGTCTCTTTAACATTAACAAAAGCTCTGTGTAAGCCTGGAATTTCCTTCATGTGGTCTCTTGTAGGACCAGAACCACCTTTGATCAGTAGGACTCAAAGTTTCTTAATCCTGCTAATCACTTTGTAACACCCCAACACTGTGACAGTCCTATACGAATAATTAACAACTACTTTAGTGTTCTTTTGCTAATGCCAGAGAGCATAATTTTATTTTCACACTGTTTACAGCGACTTATCTTAACATACAATATTTTCTATCACGTACTAAGCTTTTAAACTACAAAATCTATATTGTGAATCCTTGTAATTGTTTAATATGATTTATTAATTGGAGAGATCAGTTGTCAATCTCAGATTAAATAGATTTTAAGTGGTTCATTAACATTGTCAGCACTTATACATATATTTCAATCTCTCACCGTTTGTACTTTTTTTACAATAACCTTAAAACTGCCCCTCATGTTTAGAACGTTGTAACACTGATCCAAGGAAGTGTGTAAGTGTGTGGGATTTAACAAAGAGACCTCCATGCGTGAAATCAAGCACACACTTAAGCTGTTGAGTTGGAATGGTGCTTGGAGTAGTCAACGCTTGCCTTAGCTGAACACTGAATTCTGAAAGCCTTACACAGATTTCACTTAGGAAGACTTTCAGTGATACCATTTTTCAAGAGGAGACTGATGAGAGCTCTGACACTCTCTGTTCTGTAGTAGTGTCCGGGATAGCAAAGGCACTTATTTATCCACTAGAAGAGAGCTGGCTGCATTTCGATTATTCTGCTGTGTAATGTTATTGTAAAGTGCCTTGAGAGTCTAAGCTGATGAAAGACACTGCATAAATTAAAAACATCCTGTCCTTTTCTTTCAAATAACTGTAGATTCAGAGTATGGAAGTGATTCCTTTTAAATTCCACATTTCTGGTGTGAGAAGATACTTTGAAAAAGATCTTTATTTGTGAATTTTGCAAATCAATTGTTTATTAGCACCAGGTCTTTTAAAAAGAAAAGTAAATTAACATAAAGGAAATAGAAAGGAGTAAAGTATATGAAGAGATGCTAAATGTTATAAGAAAATACTCTGTCATAGTTATTTTAACATTGCTATTGTACTATTTTCTTCAAAACTTCACATATTTATTGGGTCTGTATTAATCTGTGATAACACCATACAAGGCAAAAATATAATCTCTATACTGCTATGCAGATGTGAATGAGGAAATTCACTTCTTTCCTGCCCCATAGCCCTTTTTCATAAAGTTTTTTACTTTTTGCTTTCTTTGTATTGAATTTTTTTCAAATGTGATGTGTTATACGCGGCAAATACTGTTGGATTAATATCCTCTTAGTACTCTTTATATTCCAAATGTATATTGTCAGTTCAGATACTAATACACAAAAGAAGGGATTTAGGAAAATAAAGGACAACCAGACTGACTAATGTGAGTCTTCTTTTCATAGGCAGAATTTTCAGAAATCAACTTGATAGCCCATGCTGATGGCAATTATGCAGTAGATATCCAAGTATTTCGAAATGGCACTAAAGTTGTCAGGTAAGAGAAGCTAAGTAGAATAACAGCAAAAAGCAGTAAGTGGCTTAATGTATGCATGTGGAAGGTACTGAATGATTTCTTTTATATGTGTGATAGGGATTTTGACTGATACAACACCCCTCAGTCACTGGCATGAAGGTCAGGAGATAAAGTATCTGATGAGTGCAGTAAGTCCTGTTTGTGACAGGAAGGAAGTCTCTCCCCATTTTGGTCACAGGAAAGATACATTTGATTAAGACGGGAATGAAGTCTGGTATAAAGAATACAAGACTGGGATTTAGGGTTGTTGATTTGCGTCTTAACTTTGCTTCAGAAATAAAGACAGTCTTGGTGATTTTGTACGTGCCAGACCTTTCCAGATGAGCAGCATTTATTTCCAATGTTGAATATTTTCCATTGAAACAGGCTAAATCATAGCACTTCTCTCAAGACAGTTACTGGAATATCACTGTCTGTTTGAAAGATTTCAATTTAAAAGCTTGAGATTTCCCAATCTCAACAGCCAATAGGCTGTTTTGTCCAAAAAGGATTATTCCAATTGGAAGCAGGGTAATTTTACCTTTTTTTTTTTCAGTGAGGTCATCAACAGCCCTGTAAATTTAAGGGGAGAAAACAGGGGTACATCTGGGCAAAATAAAAGCTTAAGTAAGTTTTAGCAAAGTTATTTCAGGCAGTCCTCTATTTTGTCTGATTTGTGGAATTACTCCTATTTTCACCAGTGCACGGAAGTGTGAGTTAAGTGTAGCAGTTGTTCGGCTGAGCAATTGCATTCAGAAAGGTAGATCAAGCCACTAACGGTGACCTGGTAGTTTACTACTTGTGTTTATCTTTAGGCAAGAGTAGGAGTTCAGGGAGCTGGACAACATACAACATGTCTTATATCTTTGTGTTTTTGCACAACATCTGTCAAAACAAAAGATTTAAAATTTCTATTCATTCATGTGAGAAAAAAAATCAGAAAAAAATTATGGAAAATAAATGTACTTTGTGCTTTAAAACACACAACTGTTTAATGTCTTGTGTGTTCTAAAAACACTGCAGAGTAATACAACAACCACTTATGCCAAATCCACAAGATTATTTCCTTAGAGTAGAGATTTTATATTTTTTTTAGGGTTTTTTGTTAGTTGGACTTTTTTTCTTTTCCCAACGACAGAAGTTTTGGACCCAGGAAATCTTGATCGCTGCTCCTTAGTGGCTTTTCTGTAGAGAATTTTCCAAACAGAACAAAAATACTGAGGCCAAATTAGCATCAAAACATGTCAATACTTAATGTGAGTTGGGAGCCTCCAGAAAATAGCATCTACATAGATGTGTATTTGCAGTTTATGAGAAAGCATGGTAAAAAAGTTTCACTCGAATTTGTGTGAGATATCTTCATCAGTGTGCATGCTTTCTGGTGTGAGAAGGATATGCAGACACTATGGGAGAGCAGTGCTCTGTTTCTGTGATAACTTATGTGAAGATACAGAATATTTTTGAAAAACAGAAGTATTTTTCATTAATGTTCTGTATCTTCAGATAAGTGCTAGTCTTTATGTTACTTTAAGCCTAGTCAGTTTGTGAAGTGAGTTGCCTGAAGCTTGGAACTTGCTTCGTGTGTCACTAAGGAATGCAGAGTTGCTGATGGATATTACTTTACATGTTCAGCTGGTAAGAAACTTGTTTTGAAATCTAGTGTTAAATATGGGTCAGACAATAGGATGTGTGGCACATTCCTTTGTTTCTGTCTGTCTCAACCATCAAGAGAGATGGGAGAAACTGCTGGTCTCACTGGTATCAAAGTTCATATTGAATATGAACTGTGGGGCTATTACTAAGAAGGCATAAATTTTGAATTCTGAGGAGAAAAGTCTGTTGTGTTATTGATGTGGGGTCCGAAATGACCTTGTATCATAGATTTGTGAGCAAAATATTAGTATAATTGATGGTAAAACAAGAGAGAATGGACTCAAGCTGCACCAGGGTAGGTTTAGGCTTGACATTAGGAAAAATTTTTTCACTGAAAGGGCTGTCAGGCATTGGAATAGGCTGCCCAGGGAGATGGTTGAGTCACCATCCCTTAATGTGTTTAAAGGTCATTTAGGTGTGGTGCTTGGAGATACGGTTTAGGGGTGTATTTGGTAGAGTAGGGTTGATGGCTGGACTTGATCTCAAAGGTCTTTTCCAATCTGAATGATTCTATGATTCTATCTGAATGATTTCTATGAAAATCATAGCAACTTTGATGACAAAATTTTGCTGCCTTAGTTTAGGAGGAAAACCAGGCACCTGCTTGTTTTGTTTTTGTGAATGAAAACCAAATCATGAAAAATTATATCTCATGTTACATAATGCTGAGATTTTGGATCTTACAAGTGCTTGAGCCAGGATTACAATTTTTCTCATGACCTTCTTCTGTATACACAGTCATTCTGTCCAGTGGTAATTACAGAACTAGAACAATTATGTAAATGTATCGTGTTCCTTTAAGGATTTTTTGCAAAGCAAAATCTATTATTTTTGGTTTTGTTTTTTAAAAAGTACATTCCTTCAGTTCCCCAATTATTTCATCTGTAAATCTGTATTTTAAAGGGCACTTTCTGTTCTTTACTTTTATTTAAAAACACAGTGCTGTCTTTGAGTTGATGTGTAATCCCCTTAGCACTATTTCAAATGATAGAGAGGGTCTCTGTCACTGAGTGGTCTGCAATTCTGATTAAGGCATCATTAGTCCTCTAAGTATTATGCTGTGCTAGTAAATTCAATTTCCTTATTTCAAACACTCAGCACACCACCATGAAACTTAGATCACAAATTCTCAGAACTATGCTACAGATAATTTTTTGGAAACTTGTTGAAGGCAAGCATTTCTTTACAAGTTTTGACCGTTGCTCTACAGTGCCATTTTAATGACTCTTGACAGCAAATCTTTATAATGTTGCTTTGGCCAAATCATGCATTACATTTGAAAGCCACCTTCAGAATCCAGCTAATATACTTTGACTACTGCATTCAGACTGGAATCTCAAAACTGTTTATGCAATTTTAACATGAATTTTGATGGTTGTGGTTTTGTTTTCTTTTACTAGAGTGATATTTCTGAATAGTTTTGTAACCTTCAGAATTTTTCACTCCAGTATACAGTTTGTATTTATTTAAGACATGTAAATGATTACACTCATTTACTAGACTAATTTAATTTACCCTGCAGTTATGCCTCTTTCGGGAGGTTGATAGCTGCAAGCTAGTCAGTATTTTTTCCACCTATAAAATTTGAATACATAGGGGACTCTTTCAACAGTCAAGTTTAGGAGCTAATTGCCCCTGTCCTGGTGTCTCTGTCCTGTTGCATTATGTCTTCTGTTTTCCAGAACTTTCTTCAGTAACTAAATGTCAGGGTTTGAGTAAGGTGAAGATGGTGTCAGATTTCTCTCAAAGGTACATGGTGATAGGACAGGTAACCACGGAAGTCACAACAGGGGAAATCCTGGTTAGATACAAGAGAGAAAGAGAAAAAAATGTGCAGTTGTAAGTTTAGAAATTCATTCTGACAAGTGTCTTTATCAAAAGTTTAATTATGGTTATCTCTGATTATGGTATTCCTTTTGCAAGGAGTGGTGTTGCTTTGTCTCTTACTGCTTTTAAAACAGTAGGATGATAGCTGTGAAAAAAAAATTGTTCCCAAGAAGCTTAAGTTTCTGGTGAAGAGATTTGCCTGCTTTGTTTATGATTGTCATTGCTGAGTATCTGGTCTACACAAACAAAGAACATACTCAGAATTTATAGATATGATTTATCTTACGGTGGGAAAAAAACCTTAAAAGCCATCATAATTTGTCTCTCCTCTTAATGGAGTCACATTATTGACTGGATGATGGTGTTTTCTGAACAGTCAAGCAGTTAAGAAATTATACAATACAGATTTTTATAAAGCCTTAATAATTCTTTCCACCTTGTAGCATTTACCTTTTTTATGAGTGTTCTTCTAGTACTTTTCTATCCATCAGCTAGACATTTTTCACTTCTAAGCTTTTGCTGTTGAAGGAAAAACAATTTGATCATTGACTATTAGCAATGTATCTTTTTCTATTTAGGTCATTCAGGCCTGATTTCGTCCTCATTCGACAACATTCATTTAGTATGGCAGAAAATGAAGATTTCCGTAACTTGATCATTGGAATGCAGTACGCAGGCATCCCCAGTGTCAACTCCCTGGAATCAATCTATAACTTCTGCGACAAACCGTGGGTGGTAAGTGATGTATCAGAAAGTTTTTCTGCTGCAAAACCAGTTTGCTTGTTTAGTTCCCTTTCATGAATATTGGATATCGAACTGCAAAGTTACTTAGCAGAGCAGTGAAGCAATAGTGAAAGGAATAAAAAGTAAACTAAGATATTCAAATTATTTTTTCAAAGAGCCAGTGTAGGCAGTGTGGAGAAGAGAAAAAAAGGTATTTGTAGTACAAATAATGAAATAAGTGAGGAAACGAATGGAAGGCCTATCCACTGCTACATGCTTCCTCAAGTGAGGAAAGTGTGTTTATTCACAATTTGTCTGGGAAAAGCAAGCTGAGAATATTTTCCATATTTGTGGTCTTGAACGCAATTTAAACAAACTTTAGCCAGTGTTTTCCTCATGCCTGTGAAATTTTTGGGGCTATGCTTTAGCAAGGAAATCTGAAGCAATTTGTTTCCTCATTTGAAAGCTCTTTTCATAATCTTGTGCATATAGGGTAGGAGTTAGTCTTTTCAGTTATGCCTAGAGTAAGGAGGTACACTGGAGAATCACTGGTGTGTGCCAGTTTTAGTGTAGAAGCCCATTCAGTTTTTTGTTACGCGCTTTGTAGGGATGGAGGCAGAATTTGGTGATCTATTTGATTCGTAATAGCAACAAGTTAAAATGTGGTGCTATAAAAGATGATTATCAGTGGTGCAGTCACTGTTCCTATAATAGATATATTCAATTGTCCAAGAGCTAGTGAAACTTTAAAGAATACCACTTGTTAGAAATAGGCAAAACTTCGTAATTATTTCCTCTGATGCCTGGGTAAGAAAAGAACAGTTGTCTGTATTTTTCACACCGAAGAAAAGTTGTACTGTAATACTTTTTATTGCCTTGAAGGTGTTTATTTTTTCACACTTAGTATGAAAATCCCTCTAAAAATATCATTATCAGATTTTAACATATACCTCTTGCAGGTAGTTTTATTATACTTTTATGTTGCAGTAAACTGCAGCGGGGAATAAATAATTGATAGAGCATTTATAACTTCTCAGAATACACATTGTACATTGCTGTATCCATTACTTTAATATATCACATTTTCAATGCTGTGTGGCTTCGGTTCATTGTATGCAATGAAGCTGGGCGTTGAAGCAGTAACAGTAGCATTTACATGCAATAATGATGCAATAAAAAGTAAACGAATAATTCCTCCTTCTATTATCCTTCTGGTGGCATTAGAGTCATGGCAGTTCTTCCACCAAACCGATAAAAATATCTTTTTCTTACAACTGGTCTTGTTGCGCATAAGATTTCTGTGCTGATTTTTCCCTATCATAATAATTGAGAGTAACTGGGAGTTGTAGGAATATTTACCATAATAACTGGAAGACGTAACAAAAGCAAATATAAGGTTGTTTTCTTTGAGAAACTCAGATGTGACACAGCCTGAGCAAGAGTCCCATTCACATCTCTTAGGTATTTCCTCTCATAAATAATTATTCTAGAGAAATTCTATTGTCAGACAGGTTACATGCTTCTTTCAGGTTTTAATTATCTTCTATAGTTCCCTGAAGTTGTTTTCATTAAGGTGCATAGTAGAGCAGGGCCTGAGCGCGTACCTCCCTCTGCAAGTCTGTGGACAGTGAGGTCAAGTAGGCAGCGTTCGTGTGTCGTGAACATGGGCATGCTTTGCTCCACCAGTGGCCTCACCTCTGCATGTCAACTACCTGTGACTGTAAGCTAAGCCTGCACAAGTGAGAGCAGTTCCCATTCTGCATATGTGCTGGTTCTATTCTTTAGCTGGATCCCTCTGAGGAGGGTGGACTTTTAATTTGAACACAAAAATATTTTCTGTACAAATGCAAGGGGAATTGGGCCTTTAACCTGAAATATCCTAACTTCTGTTCTTTGTGGTAGTGGGAGGTGTAGAGACCACCAGAGCATCATGAAATCTTCATCAGGTTTAGGAAAGCTAAACACTGCAAGAAGTCATGCAAACCTGTTTCAACCCATGCCCAGAATACTCTGAGGGTAAAAATCCACTGATGCTTTGGTTCAGCCAATTTCATCCATGTTCAAATAATGCAACAGCATCCAGGGACTGGTTTTGCTTATGTTATCTTCTAGCTTGTTCGATTGCACCTAACTCATACATGCCACCCTGCCTATGTGAGTTCCCTGCTGCAAACTGTAGTCTAGATTTGGGTGCCTTGGGTTGCACTTCTCCATCTGTTGCTGCACACTAGCCTTAAGCACAAAAACCATTGATGCCTGTGCTGTGCTCCTAGATGACTTCAGGCCAGTGAATCAAGCAGTGTTACCCACTGTTAAAATGACACATATTTAAGCTGAACTGGTACAAACTTAATTGAACTGTAACTAGAAAAAAACTATTCTGCAAGTCCTTGACCAGAAACCAGATCAATGTTTACAGCACTGATTAAAGGTATTTGTAATGGGTCTGAGTGGCAAGGTTTTGGTAGCGGGGGGCTTACAGGGGTGACTTCTGTACGAAGCTGCTAGAAGTTTCCCCTATGTTAGATACAGAAAATGACAGCTGGCTTTAAGACGGACCCGCTGCTG